TTGACATAATACAGGGCTGCTGGACACAACACTGCTCGGGAAAAGCCAGGGAGCGACTCATGCCTTCAATGTGGCGTTCGGTCCTGCTCGTGCTCTGCGAGAGAAATGAAACCTGCGGGGGGGGGAGGGAGGCACAGCCGCCTTTCCCGGCCCTCCACCCTGGTTTTATCGGTGCGTAAATCCTATTTGTGTTGCTTTTTACTCGTGTGCCAGGGAATCTTAAAAGCAAAACCCACCACCTTTTTTTTTGCTCCCCTGTGCTTCCAGACCCGGCTCCTGCTGGGCCCTCCAGCCTCCCGCTGGGTCCCAAGATGAGGAACCGAGCCGGGGGCTCAGTGCCCCCCGGGAGCTGGGATGGCTGCGGGCAGGTGCCTGGCACCTGCATCTCGCCGCCGGCAGCATCCCGGGCTTCGTCTTTCCTCTCCTGCCCTCCATCGGAGGGAAGCAGCATTCGCCGGGCACAGCGGGGGGCCGGGGTGGAGACCGGGCGCCCCGAGCCCCTCCGGGTTTCCGGGACTCGCCCTCACCCCGCCCGGCGCGGGAGTGGGTTCGGGGCCGCCTCCTAATCCCGGCATAATCCCGGAGAGCGGCCGCAGAGCGGGCGGCCGCTAATCCCGGCCCGCCGCCGCTAATCCCGGCCCGTGGCCGTGGGCGATGTCCCCTCTCCAGAGCGTGCAGCGGGGTCCCGGGTGGAACCCCCGGCTCCCGGGGCACGTAAATCTGTTAATGACTCGGTCATTAACCCGCTGTCTGCCCGCTCTCGGCTGGGCGCTGCCCGCGCCCTGCTCCTGCAGCCCCCCCCAGCCTTCTGCACCCCCTCTCCGGGCCGCCACCCCCGCGCCTTTTTGGGGTGACCTCGCTGCGGGCTTGCTCTGTTCCGGGAGCGGGGAGGGCTCTCCGGGGGGACAGCCTGGAAGGCCGGGGCGGCCGCGGGACGTGTCCTGCATGGCGGGAGCTGCCCGGGGGCTGTTCCCCCACAGCCGGCTGCCAGCCAAGCTCAGTGCGGCGTGGCCGGGCCGGGCTGCGGCCGGGAGGAGCGTGCTGGGGGGTCGCTCCCGGGAATATCCCACCCCAGCCAGCAATGCTCCGGCTCGCTGGCTGCGAGAGCTCAGGCTCCGATGCACCGTGTAACGCGGGTCGCTTTTGCCACTCTCTCCGGTTTCTTTTTTTTTTTTTTTCGCTCGGCCTCTTTATCTTTCAATTGCAAAGCAATTAAAGGTTTGTATGAATCTGCGAGCATCCCTCCCCGCGGGGCCCTCTGATGCCCGCTGTATTGCCCTTTAGATGCCTCTTCCTTTTTTTGTTTTACAATTGTTGTATCAATATAATGCTTCCTTTCTTCCTCTGTCTCTATAGATACAGATATACAAGGCAAACCAAAGGTTTCGGCTGCTATTCAGTGCCTCCTCATTTGTCCCAGAGCCGTAACAGTGGTGCCCTTTCTCTTCTGGCTGCTTTTCCCTGCTTCTGGAGCAGCAGTTATGGGAGAAGCAGATGGCTACTGATTGGGTGAGCTTTGTGGCTTTAATACTGAATACTTTATGGAAAAGGACTTTATCATGCTTGGTTGGTCAGAGGAACAACGGGATGAGATTTATGACTAGAGAAAATAAATCTTTTTAAGTTTCAGGCTCCTTCACACACCCCACGTCAAGTTGCTGCAGCAGAGCTGGAGCTGAAATCCTCTGCATCTTTATTTTTTCCCTCCCCCCCGCCCCGTCTGTCTGTCCTTTCACTGCTCTCCCCACCCCCTCTGCGCCAGGCTTTAGCAAACCCTTGCTAACTTTGGGGACTGTCACTCGCTGGAGAGGCCAAGGCCTTCAGAGCCCCCCAGGCAGCACCAGGAGGGGAGAGGCCATCCCTGCAGGAGGATTATCCACCTGAGGGAATATGAGCTGGGCAGTCAGCTCCTGCCAGAGCTCGGCCATGCGTAACCCAGCGGCCACCCAGGGTCCGGTGGGGAGCTGTGAGCGACATCCTCACGGACCCGAGAGCAGAGAGCTTGTGTGGCCACCAAAGAGACACGCAGCCCACCGCCCCGAGCTCGGGTCTCCTGAGGAGACAGAGCCCAGCACTGCCCAACCCCATGCCAGTCCCAGCGTGGGACACTGCTGCTGGCACACAGGGACAGAAAGGCCCAGGGGTGTACAGGAGGCAGAGGCAGATTTCAGTCCTGCAGGGATTCCCCTTCTTCCATTTCTCTCCCTTTTCTGTCCTTCGTAGCCAATCTTGTCTTCTGTCAGGATGTTAAATGTTTGAAGGAAGGTGAAGCTAGGTGAAAGGTTTCCAGGTTTTACACCTTGATGCTGCTGTCAGGCCAAGTAAGGAGGAGAAGCAGAAAGCCTGAGAAAAATAATTCTGAAATAGAAAGTCAGCAGTGATAGGGGGCTATGTATGACCCGTTTAACCAACGACATGTATTATATTTGGTGGTCTAGGTAATAAAAAAAAAATTCCTGTGACCCTTTGGTGAATATGCAAATTAATATTTCTAACTAGACTCTGTGTTTGTTGGGAAAAAAGTAGAGGGGAAGTCCAGGCACCATCAGGGATGAGGACAGAGCCGAGATGCCTGTGGTGTGTTAAAGCAGGTAGAGAAGGTATGTTGGCTTCCTGGGGAGCCAGGAGCATTTGCTCCTTGGGGTGAACCATACCTAAGGCTGGTATCTGGCCCTTTTTAGGGATTTGTGGTTTTGTGCCATGGCAGTGACCTGACCCAGGAGTCCAGCATCAGTGAGGTGGGGCTGAAGGGTCAGAGGCAATAGGAAGGGAGAGGCACCCCGGGTGTGTCTGGGAGCTGGGCTGGAAACAAGACAGAACACTGGTGGTGTGCCTAGGACCTGGCAAGGACCTGAAGGTAGGCAAACATTCAGCTGGTTGTGGGTCTGAGGACTCCCAGCGGGCTCTGCAGTGTGATGGGATGTCTCTGGCACCCCAGCACAGGGCTTCCCCAGGAAAGGCGCCATCCACGAGCCTGGTGACAAGCAGAAACGATGGTTTCAGTCATTCAGCTGAGGCCCTGATTTATTTCCACTACAGAGGCCTCTCTGTCTCCAGGGAAGGGAACCGTTCTAGCTGCATTTCTCCAGGCACCAGGAAAGCTTGTGGCTCCACATTTCGTTTTAAGAGGATTTTCCATTCCACCTGGTGTGCACCTCCCGGGGACCACAGCTGGCCCTGAGGCAGAGAAGGTAGCAAGACAGTTTAGAGCATCCCTTCGTGCCCTCTCCCCACAGTGCCCTGGCCCCGCAGGAGCGAATGTGGCTGGGCTCGTGTGCTTCTGGGAACTCGTGTGCTCTCCCGGTGATTTTATTTTATGAGTGATTTTATTGCAGTCACCTGGGAGCTCACTCTCAGCTGGGTATGTGCCTCCTCACAGGACTAACCACACACCCGTGGGCCTGGCGCACGACACGACTCAGGCAGTGTTTCCCAAAGGATGCAGGAGTGTTTCTGAACACAGGCTGAGCAGCCTTTCCTGGTCGCTCTCCTCTCCCCATCCCGTGAAGGTCAGGAGGGAAAGAGAAGGCTGACACTCCTGGGAGCAGGTGCTCTGTTCCCCGCAGCCATCCCCACACGGACTCACCGCGGGCAGAAGAGGTTATCACGGTGCTCAGTGGCGTCCAAGCATCCAGGGATCCCCACGCTGCCAGCCCTGCGGCCCTTGAATCCCCACCAGGTCCCCGCCCCGGGCCGCCCCCCGGGCTCCCTTCTGTGGGGATTTGGCTCGCCAGCCCAGCCCCTTCTGAGCTCAGCTCCCGGGCTTGTCCGCTGCTCCTGGGGCTTCCCCTTGCCCGGGAGCTGGTGGTGCCGCGCTGTGCCGTCGAGAGGGGCTGTGCTTTGGGAGGGTGGGGGGTGCCGGGGGTTTGCTGGCTGCGGGGGTCCCTGGGAAAACGGCCGGGACTCCTCAGCCCGGGTTGCCCCTAGCTCTCCGCAAGAGATTTTTCTGGAAAAATAAGCGAATAGAAAATAGATGGATGTACCGAGATAGGAGCGTGCGGCAGCGGGAGGCGGCGGGCAGCGGTGACACCGCGATCGCCGGCAGAGCGGCAGGGACCGGATCGGGCCCGGCGCACCTGCCCCGCGTCCTCCAAAAATCCCGGTGAGGCATTTCCAGGAGGCCGGGAGAGCGCCGCCGGCGCCAGGTTTTGCGGGGTTTGCGGTGGGCGCACCCCGCAGCAGAAACTCCGAAAGAAAGAGCCCGCGGCCGTCCCAAAGCCGTTCTGCGGGTCGAAGGACGCTGTTCCCTGGGATTCCCTTTTAGAGCGGCATCAGAGGCTGGATAAAAGCTCGGAAATGCCTCCGCGGTCCTTTCCAGTCCCAGGGAATTTCGGTAGCTTAGATCACGCCGAAGAGATTTCGAGATCGTATATGTGCTGTGGTGTCCCTTAAAATTAGCGCGAATAAAATTAGCGCGTAGGTTTTCTTTTCCCCCACTAATGACAGTCATTCGGACAATTTATATCTTACAGCGAGAGCTGCAGCACTGACGGAAAAAAAAAAAAAAAAGAAATAAAGAAAAAATCCCCACCACATTTGAAGCAGGAATTGACATCCAAATTTTTACAGACTCCCATATTTTTAATGTTATGAGAATCTCCCTTTTAGAAGACGCTGCGTTTTGTCGAATTAATAAGATAAATGTTGAAAGCATATTATATGCAGCCTTTAATCCTAATGCAAGGAAAATCGTAATTATGTGGAGGATAAGTGAATTTGAAAGCCAAACATCAGCCCACTCTCTGCAAACCCCGCTCCGTTCGCCCCTGGAAAACGCTTTGTCTCTCCTTTTTTTTTTTTTTTTTTTTTTTTTTTTTTTTTTTTTTTAAAGGGTTTTTTTAATCTGTTTTGTATCTGAAATGACGACGAGCAGGGAGGGACCGGTAAACACTTTTCCAGGCGATAAACCCCTTCCTTCGGCGCAGAGCATCCGCGCCTCTCTGTTCCCTGACGCTGCGCGCGTGTCGGTGAATGCGGGAGCCCCGCGTGTGCAGGGGGAGAGCCCGTGGCCGCCCCCCGCCCCGGAACGGCAGGAATGGGAGGGGGGGCTCCTGCCGGGGCTGCCCCCGGCCCCGCTCCTGCGGGGAGCCGGCTGCGGCGGAGAGCGCGGGGCTGCCCGGTGCCGCTCTCCGCACGCCGGGCCTCGCCCCGGAGAGCCGCTCGGCGGAGCCGGGCACGGGCATCCCCACCCGGATCCGTTCCGCCGAGGGGGTTTTTCCCTGCGTGTCCGATTGCCCCTACCTGGCAGGTGAGGGGACAGGGCGGGAAGCCGCCGCCGGGATCCCGGCGCCGGGCGGAGCGGCCGTCGGGCACCCCCGCTCCCCGCCCCGCACCCCCGCCGGGCCGAAGCGGAGCCGCGGCCCCAAAGGAGCTCTCTGCCCCGGCAGAGGGTCGGTGGGGGAACGCGCCCCGCGTTCCCCACCTCCTTCCCCGCCGGCGCCCGGTGGCGGCGGGTCCAGGTGAGGGGCGGGCGGGCGGCGAGCGGGCAGCCCCGAAGGGGTTAACGGGAGGGACGTGGGCTGTCACGCGTCATTGGGCAGATTATGTGCAGCAAACAAAAAGTGTGTGTCTGCGTGCCAGCCCCTCACTGCACCGGGTCCGTCTGCACCGCGCGCCTCCCGCTCCGCCGCCCGCACGGCCCGGCCCGGCATGGAGCGGCGCTGAGAGCCCGAGGCAGCCAGCCCGAAGCCGCCTTTGTGCCACTCTCGGGGCGAGGATTATCCCCACCGTCCCTGGTGAGTACCGGCGGAGGGGCCCCGCCGCCCCCCGCCGCCCCGGAGCGGGAACAATGCCGGGGATGGCCGTGCTGCCGGCGGGCCCGCCCGGGCTGCGGGGACCGGCGCCGCCCGGCCCGGACAAAGGGCGGCCGGGGGAAGGCAGCGCCGCGGGGCCGGGGGCGGCCCGGGGAGCCGGGGGGATGCGGCGCCGTGGGGAGCCGTGCGGGGCTCGCCGCCGCCGGGAGGAAAGTTCGGCGGGGGCCGCTCGCTGCCGGTGGTTTCGTTTGGAGAAATCGTTCCTTCGGGGAAGGGATGCGTCGGGCAGCAGCGGAACGGGGAGGGCGCCGGGGAGGCGGCCGGAGCCCCTTCTCCCCGGCCTCCGTTCCCGGGGAGGGGCCGGGACCCCCGCCGCCGCTCCGGGGTGGGGGTGAAGTTCCCGGTGGTGCGGGTCGCACCCCGAAATCGGCGGGGGGAGCGGCGGCTCGGCGGAGCCGTGCCCGGTGCGAGCGGCGGCAGCCGTCAGCAGGCGCACCGGGAGGAGCACCGGTCTTTTGCCGAGCCAGCCCCGAATGACGGATTTCGATGGCAGATGGGGCGGGGGGAGGCAGCCGTGCGCTAATCTGGTCGGGAAGGGCGAGGGCACCGCAGCCGGGCGCAATGCTCCTTCCCCGGCCTCGGCGCCGCCGGCCCCGCACCCTGCCCGCTGCCCGCGCCCCGCCAGCTGCCCGCCGCCCGCATCCTCCCCTCGTAACGCGCGGCAGCCGGGGCTCACCCTGCTCCATAAATAAGCGTGTCGAGGTAAAAATAATTACCTCTGCTTGCTGCTTTTAATTAAAGTCTCGGAGGGAAAGTGCTGGATTATGATAATGAGCAGCCATACGTTCCCCTTGTCGCGCGGAGCGGGAGGTGATCTGACACGCAATCGGCGACAATGACAAGCCGCTGGAACCCACCCGCTCCCCCGGCATAGCCCGCAGCCCGGCCCGGCTCCGGGGACTGCAGGGAGATCCGGAGCCCGCTCGGGACAGGACGCGGCCGGCGGGATTCCCGGCTCCCCGCTCAGAACCAGCTCCGTCGCGATATCTAAAAAAATAAATCAGCGCGGCAGAGTCCCCGCACCTCGCCTCTGCTCGCAGCTCTGAGCCTGCTTTAAATTTTTGTCAAACCGGAGAAACTGCTCGCCTGCTTTTTTCTCCTTTTTTCCCCCGTATATTTCTTTCCTTTTTTTTATAATTTTTATTTTTTAATTTTTGGAGGTTCTTTTCGTAATGTTTTATTTGATGATTCAAGTCGATTTTATTTTGTTTTCAGGGGCATCCCGGTGTACCACTGAGCGGGACCCGCTGTGGTAACAGCCCCTCTCTGCCCCTCTCTCCGCCCGCAGGGATGGAGGACGCCGGCGTCCAGCGGGGAATATGGGACGGGGATGCCAAGACGGTCCAGCAGTGCTTGACCGACATTTTTACCAGCGTTTACACCACCTGCGACATCCCGGAAAATGCCATTTTCGGCCCCTGCGTCCTGAGCCACACGTCCCTGTATGACAGCATCGCCTTTATCGCCCTCAAGTCCACCGACAAGCGCACCGTCCCCTACATATTCCGGGTAAGAGCCTCTCGTCCCCGGGCCCGGCCGCTCGCCACGTCGGCCGGTGCCCGCAGTTCGGCCCGGGGAGGCTGTCCGCTGTTGCCTGGCCCCGTGCTGTCGGTCGGTCGGTCGGTCGTTCGGTCGGTCTGTCTTTCGGTGCCGTGGACTGACGAACGCGGGTTTTCAGGTGGACACGTCGGCGGCCAATGGCTCGTCGGAGGGGCTGATGTGGCTGCGGCTGGTGCAGTCGGCGCGGGAGCGGGAGGAGCAGAACCTGGAGGCCTACATCAAGAGCGGGCAGCTCTTTTACCGCTCCCTACGCCGCATCGCCAAGGACGAGGAGCTGCTGGTGTGGTACGGGAAGGAGCTCACCGAGCTGCTGCTGCTCGGCCCGGCCCGGGCCCCCGCCCGCACCAACGGTGGGTATCCCGGGCGGGAGGAAGGAGGGGGATCCCTGCCGCCGGGGGGAACGGGGAGGCGGCGGTCGGCTTCGGCATCCCCCGCTCTCGATGCCCAAACTCTCGGCGGACGTGCCGTCGGTGGCCCCGGCTGACGGTGCTGTCTCTCTCTCTGTCTCTCTGTGTCTGTCTGTCGTGCCCGCCCGACGCAGGCTCGCCGCCCTTCGCCTGCCCCGAGTGCAGCCAGCGCTTCCAGTTCGAACTGCCCTTCGCCGCACACCTCCGGTTCCGCTGCCCCAAGCGGCTGCACGGCCCCGACATCGGCCCCGCCGCCGAGGCCGCCGCCGCCAAGGACGGTGCCGGCAAGGAGCAGGAGCCCGGCAAGTTCGGCAAGCCCGGCGGGCCGCCGCACCATCCCTTCCCCGGGCCCGACGGCGGCCCCGCCGCCAGCACCAAGCCCTCCACGGACTTCCACAACCTGGCGCGGGAACTGGAGAACTCCCGCGGCGGGCGCGCCGGCTCCCCGGGGCGGCCGGCGCCCCCCGAGGGCGGCCCCGAGGCGGGGGCGGGCTGGGCGAGCCCTGCCCCGACGGCGCCGCCGCCCCCGCCCGCCTGTACGCCGCCGAGGCGCTGGCCGCCAAGCTGCCGGGCGGCGGGGAGGCGGCGGGCGGCGGCGGCGGCGGCGGGGGGCTGCCCAAGCAGAGCCCCTTCCTCTACACCACGGCCTTCTGGCCCAAGAGCTCGGCGGCGGCGGCGGTGGCGGCGGCGGCGGCGGGGCCGCTGCAGCTGCAGCTGCCGTCGGCGCTGACGCTGCTGCCGCCGTCGTTCACCTCGCTGTGCCTGCCGGCTCAGAACTGGTGCGCCAAGTGCAACGCGTCCTTCCGCATGACCTCGGACCTGGTGTACCACATGCGCTCCCACCACAAGAAGGAATACGCGCTGGAGCCCCTCGTCAAGCGCCGCCGCGAGGAGAAGCTCAAGTGCCCCATCTGCAACGAGTCCTTCCGCGAGCGCCACCACCTCTCCCGCCACATGACCTCCCACAACTAGCGGGGACACCCCCCGGCCCCGGGAACCCGCCCGGGACCCCCGCCTCTCCCAGCCTTCCCCTTCGATGCACGCGTTTCCACAGTCCGGGGAGGGGCGGGAGGGCAGCGGGTGAAGGAGGAGGAGGTGAAAAAGAAGAAGAAGAAGCAGAAAAATGAAGGTAAAAGAAAAAAAAAAAAAAAAAAGAGAGAGAGAGAAAAAAAAAGAGAAGCACCGGGAAAAAGAAAACAAAAAAAATCAAATGACTTAAAAAATACATTTTTTAAAATGTCATATATTGCAACATATTGATGCATTTGTCATACGTTTCTACTTAAATTATTAAGCACTTATGGTTTAGATGTAATAATAATTCTATGTCAGGGTAAATTTTTATTTTGGATATGAAGCTAAGGGCGAGGGGAGCGCGGCGGGGCCGGCGGGCGGCGGGCCGGGGTCCTGCATGCACCGGGCGCTGCCCCCGTCCGGCCCCGCCGCCCGCGCCCCTTCCCCCGAGTGTCACTGGTGCCCGTGGAATGGAGTCTCGGTAGTTCCGTGTTACCTTCCCTTTCCCGTTTGGGTTTGGTTTTTTGTTTTGTTTTTTTTTTTTCCTCGCCCCTCTGGAAAAAAGAAAAAAAAAAAAAAGAAAAAAAAGATTTATTAAACTTTATAGTTTATCCGGGTATGTTGGATGCTTTGACAATAAATGACTTTATTTTCTTCAAAGCACCTGGACGTTAATCGATGCGGGGGAGTGGGCGGTGACCGAGGGGTGGCCCCTCGGCTGCGCGGTGGCAGTGGGGTCCCCGGCCGCGCCGGGCCGCGGGGAAGGCACAAAAGCCCGACCACGGCGCCTGCTCTCTGCGCTCTCCTTCCCTGCTCGCCTGCCTTCCTTCGGCCCCTCCGGCATCCCTCTGTCTGAGCACCTTTGCTTTTGTCCGGCATTTTATTCCGCCTGTATTTCTCTCCTTCATCCTGTCTTTCCCTTCCTTTCCTCTCCCCTTCGTCTTTTGGGTTGTCTTTAATTTCTTTCATTTTGCCTTTCTTTTTCTTTTTGCGTGTCTTTATTTTGTTTTTCTTTTTGCCCGTCCCCGGCTTGCAGGGCGGCACAGCCACGGAGGGTGCCCGGGGGTTCTCTGGGGTGACAGGACCCAACCCGCGGTGCCTCGGGAGTGCTTTGAGGGGCCAGGGGTGGTTCCCCGCTGTCCCGGTGCATTGCCGGGGTGGTGGCATCGCAGCCAGGGACACCCGGCAGGACCAAGACAAGGGGGACACTCCCGGGTGTACAGCCTGGTCTGAAGAGCACCACCATCAGCGGGTGCGTTCAGTGCCAGCCCCACTTTGGGGGCACGGGAGGGCACCGGGGGATGCACAGCCCGGGGATGTGCAGGAAACCCATTTCCACACACCGCCTTCATCCTGGCACCGAGGCTGTGCCGGGTCACTGGCCGGGAAAATATCCCAAAGCCGGAGCTGTGCGGCAGGAGCCCACGGCAGAAGCGTGAGAGCCCCACAGTGTCACGTAAATGGGGTCCAGGTGCCAGCGGCTGCCATGGGGTTTGGGGTCTGCACGGGGTACCCGGACCTGCTGCCAAGACTTTACAGGTCCCGGGGAAGCGCCTGGGGCCTCACGTAGGACAGCCCAGCAAAGTCCCGGCCGCGGGCAGCCCAGCTCCCGCGGATGTTGCTGGCTCTCCCAGCGCGCTGACCCCGGCTCCGTACCGATACCCTCAAGCCCCGCCAGGATCCGAAGCGGCCCCCCGCTCTCATTCCCTGCCTCTGGAATACGCACAGCCTCACCTGCTGCTGTTAACTGCGGGGCGAGACACTGATTACCCCGCGGATCTTCCTTTAAGAGCGGTGCCGCCCTGCGCGTCCCGCTCCTGGGGGTTCCCGGGATGCTGCTCGGGGGATGCGGGCGGGCTGCGGGGATGCCGGGGGCGGCAGAGGCGGGTGGGCACCGCCACCTAGCGGGGCCGCCGCGGGGCCAGAGCGGCTCTGCTCGGGGCCCCGGCGGGCTCCTTCCCCGGGAGCGACGCTCCGGACCCCTCGGCCGCGGCAGCTCCGCTCCCCCGGCAGCCCCGGGCCGGCTTCGGGCCCCGCAGCCGGGGAGGCTCACAGCGGCCGTGCTAGCTGTGCTCTCCCTGGCTCCCTGCGCTCGTCCTGGTGCTGCTGGAGGGATGGTGCTTCCCCTGCACGAAGGTGCACTCGGGGGCCCAGCACACACCTGCGGGTTTCATGATCTCTTGCATCTATCCCAAATATTGTATGGCTTTTCACGGCCGTGCGCTGCGCCCCTGCCCTGCCCTGGCAGCCTCTGCAGCGCCGTGCTTTCTGTGTGTTCCTGGCTCTGTCAGAAGGCACTGTGCTGAGCCCCAGGACTGCTCCCTTTGGGGCTGGATCAGCTCCCTAAAAACACTGTTAGACAATGCATGTGTAGGCAATGCAGCAGGTGCCTGCATTGTTACTGCCGCACAAAGCTCACTCTGTTTCTGTCTAAAAGTACAAAAATCCACAGACTAGCAAATTTAATCCAAAACTTTGTTTTGCTGAAATAAGATACCAAACTCCGAAGTGATAAATCAAACTCCAGCTACTGCTTCCTGCACAAGCAGAACATGCTGTAGTAAGGGCAGGCGGTGCCCGTGATCCTGTGGAGTGGGGTGTTGTGTGGAGAGGGTTCACAGAAGTTCCCCTTGGGCCATTTGGGATCAGGGCTTGGCCACAGCACATCCCTCATTCCCCAGAGCCACGCTAGCTCTCCTCAGGTCAGCATGGGTACCATTGCTACATATTGCCACATACTGCTCCTTTGTCAACATTTTGCTGCTTGGAAAACAGGAAGATAATCTCCCCTTTTATATTTTTTTCATTTTTTCATTTCTTTTTTCCCTTTAAAAGTCTTTTCCTGTCCGTGGTGGATGCTGTGCTGTGTCTCTGCACAGCACAGAAGCTGGCTGGGCTATGGCACCAGCTGGCTTTCCCCTGTGCAGGGTCCTCACCCGACACCACAGCCCAGAAAATTGCCTTCTGGGGCATTGCCTGGGCACTTTTCTGGGACAGAGCTGACACTGTAAGCCTCTGCCAGAGCCCACAGATGCATCTGCCTCTGAAACCCACCCACAAGGGGCACCTCTGATGTGCTGCAGAGGAGCAGCAAGTAGGAGCTGGGAATGACGACGAGCAGCCTTCAGATTTGGGGAGCCCCTTCCCTGTGCTCTGCAGCACTTAAGAGTGCTCCATCTTCCCTGCAGTTGGGCCACACTGCAAATCATAACAATGATAATAATTCCAACAAATCCTGATTTCAGTGCTGTTCCTGGGGAGCAGAAGGCAGCTTTGCAGGCACAGAGGTTTCTGTTTGAAGGCGCAGTAGTTGGGCAGCCAGGGGCAGCAGACCCACAGCCTGTGCACCTTTGGGCTGGAGCTGGGGGTAGCTGCCTGCCTCGGGGCCTGATCCCCTCCTGCCAAAGCCAGCAGGAGCTGTGCCTGTGTAGGTCTGGGAAGGGATTAGCACCGGGCAGCTGGACACAGGCACCTGAACTGTGGCTACAGGCTGTGCAGAAAGACATAAGGGTTCTTTCCCTTAGGTCCGGAGAGAGCTGTGCAAGCGAGGCTTTCACAACCTCTGAGCATCCTCCCAGCCAGCCTGCAGAGGCCCTGACAAAATCCGTGTGCTGGGTTTTGTGCTGATGTGAGGGTGCTGAGCAGTGTGCCGGACAGACGGAGATCTGCTGCCACTGCTGCCAGGAGGCCGAGCTCCTCTCTGTACAGTGCCTATCTCCAGTTCACCTCTAACTGTTACATTTGGAAAAGCAGCTATTAGGATTTCACTGCGATACCCAGCTCTCAAAAACATGTTGTTCAGCTGTGGATGTCTAGGAAAGGCTGAAGTAGCTCCCTTCTTTTGAAAATCACATGAGCTGTACAGTACTTCTTCCCTGCTTTCCCTGCCGCTGAGGTCTGATTTGGAGTGGGGAAAGACCTGGGCCAGTGCAGAATCTGTTGGTGGTGTGCTTAGAGCAAGTACAAACAAAAACCAAAGCGCAGGGGGGATGTTTCTGTGAGATACACTGCTGTCCTGCAGAATGCTGGAATGCCTGGCGTGCTCTGAGCTTTATTTAAAAGGATAGTGCTTTTCACCTGTTAGAATTTGTTTTCTTTCCTTATCCCGGCTTGTGGGGTGGCTGCTGAGTGATCTCGGTGACATTCGCGCCCATGGGGCATGTTAACCACTTGCACCTGTGCTTCCCCAGCACCTGAAGGTAATAATCATCTTAATTGAGAGGAGGACAATCGTCTTAATTAAATTCACCTGTGGTAACAGGTTTGGACAATCATCCTGATTAAACCAACCAGTTTTAAGGCATGTCCTGCTGGTGGGGTGTTTGATTCTGTAAAGCTCCTTCAGCAGCTGTAGCTTGCCGTGTTTTAGGCATGGGGACACTTTTAGAGGGATGTGCAGGGTGGCCTGGGGACCAGCCACCTCCGTCTGACCATGGTGAGTCTCCTTCAGGCACATCCTCCTTGTAAAGGTTTTATTTCCAGGCTCTGCTGGCCGGTCTCGTGTCTCCCCATGCTTTGCCTGGTGTATTTTTAAGTGGCAATTAGGTAGCACCAGGCTGACATTGGAAGGGGGAGCGCTCCCGCGGTGCAGCTTGCAGGCCCGGTGCTCTGCAGCAGATCAAACAGGCTCAGAAGAGTCCTTCTCATCTTCAAATGGGGAATTTCACACTTGAAACACAGCTTATCCTCTCCGTTTGCTGAGTTTTCCCTGTAACCGAGCTCTGAATAATTTAAATAACATAACATCAGCATTAGGCTTCCGAAGCTGCTGGGGTGTGTGTGAGGGTTGCTGCTGCCAAAGGCAATCACACACAATTGCTCCAGGAACTTCGCTGTTACGTCTGCTTATTTATTTAGGTTTAAACCTTGTGTTTGTCTTGTTTTTATGTTGGTGTTCTTTGGGGCTTTTTTTTGAGCCGTGCCGCAGGGGTATTTGAAATGGACGTGTTAGGCAGGGGGATAAACAGGAGGCACCCAGAGCCTCCCAGGCCATGCCCACAGCACTGCCTGTGGGCTCTGGGAGGGTCACAGCGAGGATGAAAACATGCTGCATGCCATGGGGCCCTGTGTCAGTCACTTCTCCGCAGTGAGGGGGCTTGGGTGATGCTCTGACAGGGCAAGGGAGTCCCCAGAGAAAAGGGATGCTGTCCTGCAGTTGTCCAGTTCCACAACAACGAAAAGGGGAATACAGGCACTGAGTGAACCCTAAGGGCTCTGCTGCCCCACTGGGCCCCCAGAAAGGGTCAGGAATGCTCACTGCAGTGGGGTTCCTTCCAAAAGTGGGTCTTGGGGACCAGCCTGGGCAAGCCCACCTGGCTGGGGTTGCCTTCTTGGTGGCCACCCCCCTTGGAAGTTTGAGTTGTCTAGGAATTCTTTGCTGTGGGTGGGGGGGAAATAACAGCAGTGTGAGTGGGCAGAGGATGTCTGGCAGCCAGGGTGGCACCAGAAGTGCTGCTGGAAACTGTGAGGGTGGACAGTAGGGTCAAAGCTGAGGGGGCTGGGCTTGCTGGTGACCCTCTGGGCACAGAAGCTTTTCTCACAGCCGATGTCTCTGGCCTAGGAATGCAGATGCCTTCTTTCTGCTCTTGGGCTGCTGCTGTGCCCTGTCACCCCCAGGATGGCAACTGTGAACATTTTTGCTTTCACCTTTAACCCTCAGGGGCAGAAGTGTTTTCTGCTGCCCCAGATGAAGAACAGGGATTTTGCTGCTGTGATCATCCTGTACCAGCTGCAGCCTTTGCACTGAGATGCCCAAGAGGAAATCCTCCTGGAGCAAGGTGGCTCTGCCTCCCTCAGCTGCGCTGACACAGGAAGTCTGGCATGAACACCACTCCAGAGGTGAGGAAGTCCTGCAGGTCCTCGTCCTCCTCGTGGATCCGGATTGGGAATCAGCATGCGTGTGTAATTCAAGAGGAGGTGAGTAAGTGGAAGTCATGGCTTTTGCCAGGCTAAGCACTACAGCTGGGAAGAAGTAAACAAGGACTCAGTGCCCTGACCTTCCTGCAGGTATGTGCATCTATATATAGGGCTGTCTATGTATACATGTCTATATATAACACGTGTGCATATAGCTCTCTGTGCTGAGAAATGGTCTGAAATGGCAGCAATGCTGGGGGATCATCTGCTCGCACCAGCCTGTGCCAGGTGTCACCCGGGCTGCCTACGGCTCCTCAAGTGCGTGTCCCTCTCGGTGCCCCCGACCTTCAGCTTCCTCGGGAGGCGAAGGTCACCCTCCGGCGTGCCACCGGCTCTGCCTCCTTCCTGCCGAACCCGATCCCTGGCCGCGTGGCCTGGATGAGCCCGCCAGCCGGGATCGCCCCTGGGAAGGCTGGGGGGCAGTTCCTAGGTGGGGTTTAGGGGGCAACCCCGGCTCCAGGAGTGCTGCGGGCACCGAGGGGCGGAGTGGGGGCTGCGGGCAGGGCAGGGAGCTTTTGGGCCCCGCTGGCTTTGCTAGAGGTGAGGTTTCCCCTGCGGCTCTGAGGACCTGGAGCGGCCCCAGGAGCTGAGGAAGGATAATCCATGCGGAGTTGTGCCAGGGGGATGGATGGGCTGTTGCTGCGGGGTCTCCTCCCGCTCGGCGGTGCTGTGCAGTCGTTGTCTTGGTGCGTGGCAAGGAGCCCGGCCACTGGTGCTGAGGGCACCTGGGACATGTGTGGTCACCCTGACGGTGGCAGGAGGCTGGGGACCGTGTACCCCTTGCCTGGGAACCAAGGAGGATGCTGTGGACCGACGAGGGCCACCCCCACTTCCCGCAGGCCGTGAGATGCTGTTGGGGGGTGGTGATGGGACCCCCGTTATCCCCAGGAGCCGAGTGGGTGAGGGAGAGCAGCTTTGCGGCTCGGGGGCTGCCCCGAGCCCCCTGCTCGAGGCTGGGCTGGGCGCGCAGCTGCCGCGTCACCCCCCGAACCCCAGGCGGGGGGCTGCAACCCGAGCCTGTCCCCAGGGTCCTGCAGCCCCGTGGCCTCGTCCCGGCGAGGAAGACAAGTTAATTCCCAGATAGATGCGCCCCGAGCCCCGCATCTGCCGCGGGGATGGGGGGGTGGGGGGGCGTGGGGCCGGGCACAGGTGCGGGGCCGCCGCCCGGTTATAAATAGCGGGGAGGGGCGGCCCGGCTTCCCCCGTGCTCGGTCCCCCCCTCCAGGGCTCGGAGCGGAGCGGGATGCGGCGCCCTCCCTCCCTCCTCCCGCCCGCTGGCAGCATGAGCCCGTCCTTCCTCCTCCTCCTCCTCCTCGCCCTGCCCGCCCGCGCCCGGCGAGAGCAGGTGCCCGGCGGGGCGCAGCGGGGCCGCAACGCCCCCGCGTCTTCCTCCTCCTCCTCTTCCTCCTCCCCGGCGGCGGCGGCGGGGCCGAGCCGCTTCCCGCGGAGCCGCCCGGATCGGCGGCGGGGCCGGCTCTACTGCCGGGTGGGCATCGGCTTCCACCTCCAGCTGCACCCCGACGGCCGCGTGGACGGCGCCCACGACGCGAGTCCGCTCAGTGAGTGGGGAGCGGGAGGTCTGGGGGGGCTGCCGGCGCCGAGCATCCCTGTCCTTGCCGTCTTCCCTCCGCCGCGGGGGCTGGCACAGCCCCTGGCTCCTGTCGCCCGCGGCGGGCTGCAGTCCCGGCGGGCCGGGAAGGGGCGCTCGGGGTGCCGGGGGGGCTGTGCCCTGCGGGCTCCGGGAGAGCTGCCCGTCTGCCGCCGGGAAGTGCCGCCTGCGGGCTCGCCCGGCCCGGGGAAGCGAGGCCCTGGGGATGTGCGAGAGCGTGAGGGGTGCCCTGCCACCGCAGCCCCTCGCCGGGCACCTGGGGCAGGAGATGCTGCCCCTTTCTGGTCCTTTCCCCGTGGGACTTTTCCATCCCTTTCTCTGCATTCTCATTCTCCCAGCACAGCGGTAGGATATATTCGGTTTAAAAATAGGACTGAGGCTGACGTTCCCCTGAGAGAAAGCTGTGCTAACTCATGGCTTATCCTCCGGTCGGAGTTGCCATGATATCCTGCTGGAGGGAATGAAATGGCAGGTGGGGATGAAAAATCCCCTCAGGAGCCCGAGGGCTCGGGCCCGAGGTGGCCCTGGCGGCTCAGCTGTCGGGAGCGCTCACACAGCGGCTGCCACATCTGCCCAGGACCGAGGGATTCGGGGCCCAGACCGAGGGATTTGAGGCCGTGGTCCCAGGAGGGAGAGCGGCCCCAGGGCAGGAATGCCGGGAGCCCTGGAGCTCGATGGGCACGGCAGGCACGTGGCCTGGAGGGGTTTGTTTAGGGGATGGGTAGGAAAAGGGGCCCCCACCCCATGGCTGCTTTGGGAGACACGGGCTTGGCAGGGCTGGCAGAAGTTTGGTGCTACAGCTGTCCTGCAGAGACCTGAATTATGTGCAGTTCCTTCCTCCCTGAGCCGAGCTATTCCCCCCGGAAAGGCCACAGCGCCACCAGCTCCACACGTGGGAGCAGAGCCAGCCCTGGCCGGGGACAGCGAGGCTGTGCCGGGCTGTGGCATTCAGGAGGCCCTCAGGAGGAAGAAGGTGGCTTTTGGCAGGGAAACCCGAGCTTTGGCCTCTGGGAAGTAGGGCTTGACCCCGGGCAACCCCAATGAACCGGAGGAGTGCGTCTGGCACGGCAGCAGGGCCAGCCCGCCATGGGCAGGAGGCTTTGGGGTGCCCCTGGGGACAGAGAGGTGTTGGACAAGGGACCTGCCTTGCTCTGCTGGGGCTGCCGAGCCTCATGGCCTGTGGCAGGAGGGGTGTGGCAGCCGTAACCCCCCCCAGGGTGCCCCCAGGCCCTTGGTGCTGGGACGTGGGTGCCTCAGGGGGATGCGCTCCCTCCTTAAAATAAACGTGGGAAGTGGTGATCCGATACCCATCCTTGGGGGACTTAACGTGGCTCGGTGGTGGCTCCCGGCACGTCAATCCCACGGCCCTCTGGGGGCCGGGCGGGATGCTCTGCAGGCTCCTCCCGCTGGGGCCGGGGCCTCGGGGCCCCTGGGGCTGCGGCTGGGCAGCAGTGCCGGCTCCCCGGGGTGCTCCGGGGACGTGGCGCTGCTCCCCAGCTGGCAAGGCTTGGGGGGTGCCCGGCCCTCTGCTCGAGTCACCCCGCACCGCCCGGGGAGGTGGCATGTGGGTGCTGCTGCCGAGGGATGCTCGGAGGCTGCAGCTCTTCTGCCGGATGAGTTGCAGGTCCTGCGTGCCCCATCAGGGGCCAGAATCCCTGATCTGCTCGTGCTCAGGAAAGCCGCGTTATTTCCATGGTGCTGGGCTGCACAGTGCCCCAGGCTGGGCTGTGAGGGAGACAGGGGCCAGAATCCCTGATCTGCTCGTGCTCAGGAAAGCCGCGTTATTTCCATGGTGCTGGGCTGTGAGGGAGCTTCAGGGATGCTCCAGTCCCAGCTGGCTTGTGGGGCAGCTCTGATCCCAGTGGGCTGGTGTGGGTGGTTTCCCCAGGGGTCAACTCGCTCCACCACAGCCCCGCCAGGAATTGTGCCCCAAAATGGCACTTAAAAAAAACAAACAAAAAAAAACCCCAAAAAACAAACCCCCAGAAGTCCCAGCCACCAGCCCGTATCCATGCCAGAGTGGATGGAGGCTGCTCTGTGAGGCAGAGGGATGGAGCAGGAGCTGGGTGGAGCCAGGCAGCTGAGGAGCAGGGACGTGGGAGAGGAAATGCAAACCTGTCAGACTAAGCTGTATTTATTTTTTTCTCTGTCACGCCGATGTGAAAAGAACTGTGATTTATTCTGGGATTTCTGTCATCCTAGGTATTTTGGAAATATTTGCTGTGTCTCAGGGGATTGTAGGAATACGAGGAGTTTTCAGCAACAAATTTTTAGCGATGTCAAAAAAAGGAAAACTCCATGCAAGTGTAAGTAAACCCCCCCCTTATCAGTGCGTGTGGTGTATGACAGGCTTGGTGGCACCTCCGCCTGTCGGCAGGGCCTGGCAGGCTCGGAGGGGACAGGCAGAGCCGCTGCCCCCCGAGCCCACCTTCCTGCCCAGAGCCTTTCGGGCTCTGCGGCGGCGGCAGAGCCTGCTCCCCGAGCACGGCTGGGTTATTTTTAGCCGCCGCTGCTGCCGCAGATCGCGCAGAAGGATTTAGCCAAATGTCTCCCGGCGCCGGCAGCCCCGCGGCTCGGGCTGGCTCTGCCCCCGGGGACAGGGAACCCCGGCAGGTGAGGGCCGGGATGCGCAGGGATGCTGCGGCCAGGGTGGGAAAATCCCGGGAACTTTTCTCTGCGGGGTGTCGTCCTGGAGGCTGAGGTTGTTATGCTTTTCCCAGCTCTCTGTGTCGAATGAATCCATAAGCTGATTTCGCTGCTTGTTTCAGCCCCAGGGGGCTGCTTCCCTGTTTCTTGCTGTCAGCTCCAGAGGCCGTTTAAGCCAGGACAGTGAGCCCCTGTGCTTACACCCCAGTCGGTGCCTCTGAAAGGTGTGTGTGATGTGCCACCCCGCCAAGGGCATTTGTAAGGCAGCAGCTCGGCCCCGAGGGTGCTTCCCAGAGAGCCCTGCCAGGGATGAGGGCTGGGGAAAGAGGAAAGGCTGGTACCCACCCTGCAGCTCCAAGACAAACCTCCCGGTGCCAGGGCGGATGTCACGGATGTGCTTGCAGATCTCTTCCAGGGGGATTTCTGAACTCACCTCTCTCTCCTTTAAGTCTTTTTGGAGTGTTGCTCCTGCAGGCTAGTGATTAAGGGTGAGCCATTGCTTGCTTCTTTTAAGAAATCCAGTAGGAGCATGAATGGGATGTAGAGGAGAAGGGGAATGGTTCCATGGAGGAAAAAACACGAGGTGAGAGTAGAGGGGCAGAGCAGGAGGAGGGGGAAAGGATGGAGAGGAAAGGGAATCGGGTAGGGCGCGATGGCCGGACCCTCCAGAGCCTTCCCCTCTGGTGTACAATGGGCCTCTTATCTGAGCTGAAGCCTTGATTTATGCCCTGGCACAGGCAGAAATTAAATCAAGCCTTGTTGGTGCACGGTTAATTGCTGAGACACAAAGGGCAGGGCCAGAGCGGGACCTCAGTCAGGAGGGTCAGGGCAGGGGTGAGGACACTCGGTGCCCCGCTCGGGTGAAAGCTGCAAATTTGTAGAAACTTGACCCAAATGTCTAAAGATTGCTGGGCTAAACAATGCCAATAATGCAAACCCAGCATCTGTTGTTCTTTGCTGTGCTGGCAGGATGGAGGTTATTTCATGGCCTAATGAGCTCCGAGCAGTACAAAGCACGTCCTGTGCCCGTCACTCAGGGCAGCGCTTTGATACGGGCGTCAGGCCGGGGGCTTCGGCTGAACCAGACCAAAGTCATTCCTGCAGGAATCTGGGCTCCTTCAAAACTCACTCTTGGGCCCTGCTCCATCCCAGCTCGGTGTTTTACAGACGCTCTCTTCCTCCTCCTCTCTTTTCTTTTCCTTTTTTTTTTTTTAATGCCAGCTTAATTAAATTACCGAGTGGTTCATTTTTAGAGGCACCAGCTTCAGAAGATGACAGATATCCCGGTAATTATCAGTTGCGTGCACAGATGGCTTTTTCCTCGTTGGTAAATCCTCGCTCTCCTGTTTGTCCATTTTTAGCATGGAGCGGGTGGGAGGGGTGTTGTTCCTGTCCAGCACGGACCCCGGGGGGACAGATTTGCCCAGGTAATTCTCCTTTCCCAGGAGCTGCCACAAAGCTGCATTCCTCGCTGGGGCAAACCTCTGCTGGGTTTTGAAATTTAATTGACTCCAGGACTGCTCTGGAGCTCTTCAGAGCAAGTCCCATGCCAGCCATGTGCTGCGGGTACCCCCTCTGTCCTATTTCCTATAGGAAGTTTCTTCCCAGGGAAAAAATGGGTTTTCCAGGCTGGAGCGGTGCAGTGATGGGCTGAGAGACTGGGACGAGGGTGAGTCTGACAGGATGAGGGTGGGGCAGCTGTTTATGTACTTCCTAGGGCAGGACAGGGACTTCCTAGGCTTGTGGGACATCCTGCCTGAGCACTGGGGCTTCAGGGAGCACAGAGGGCCAGCAAAGCCTTGCTGGGGAAGGTGGAGGCCTGTGCACGGGGCAGACAGCAGGAAGGGTGTATGGAAGGTGGGGAGAGCAGAAATGGGTCACAGAGGCGATATCCCTCGGAATCAGCAAGCTAAAGGAGGCCTAATTCCAAGTGCTATGAGGCAAAACGTGTGTGGCAGGTTGTGGGCTCTGTCACTTCTGCTGTAAGGCTCAACCTCTTGGGTTAAATCTGGGCTTTTGAACGCCTTCCTTGTGGTTACAAAGCCCCGCTGGGGGTTGGGTGTATTCTGGGTGTCTGGCTTCGGAGCTGGAGAGCTCAGCATCTCCTCGTGTCAGTGGTTTGGAGGTGTTGCTGTGAAATGGAGCTGGGGGAGCTTTTGGGGCACCAGGTTCTGTGCTTGCCATCAGGTTAAAGTGTGGCAGAATATTTGGGAGGGGCTGCCAGAAGCTACAGACGGGGATGCCGGGGCTGTGGGCATGCAGGTGCAGTGCTGGGCTCTGCTCTTTGGCTTTGGAATGCTTTTTTTCCCCCAGCAAAACCCAAACCCGGGTGGCAAGCAGCTCCTGAACTATCTGCACCGGGGGTTTTCCAACCACTCACGTGGCTGGCACCCTCGGTGTTGGTGCCCCGCGTTTCCAGCCGCTCCTTAGGGCCAGCTTTGGGGGACAGCTGCCCCCCCGGCCCTCTCCAGCGGTGTCCCCTGTGTTCCCCCTCCCGCAGGCTCGCTTCACGGTGGACTGCCACTTCCGAGAGCGCTTCCAGGAGAACAGCTACAACACCTACGCCTCAGCCGTGCACCGCAGCCCGCGCTCGGGCCGCCCGTGGTATGTGGCGCTCAACAAGCGCGGCAAGGCCAAGCGTGGCTGCAGCCCCCGTGCCCGGCCCCAGCACGTCTCCACGCACTTCTTGCCCCGCTTCTGGCAGCCGCAGCCCCCCGAGCTCGCCTTCACCGTCGCCCTCCCTGAGAAGAAGCCCCCGCTGCCCAAGCCCAAGGTGGCTCCGTCGCCGCCTCGCCGGAGCCCTGGCAAGTACCGGCTGAAGTTCCGCTTCGGGTAGGGCAGCAGCGGGGCTGAGCCTGCGGGGACCGTGTCTCCCTCGGCACATGGACACCGGGGAGCTCCCGGGCGGCCGGCCTGGCCTTGAGGTCTGCTCTGCACCGCACAGGCCCCGAGGGAGTGGCTCGGGCTTGCCAAAGAGGATTGCTGCGGTGAGCTGAGAGCGCTGGACAGACCTCGGGTTAGCGTTCTGTCGCTGGGAGAAGTAGGAAGGCACCTCTACAGCCAACATCTTTTCCTACCTTATTTTCACTAGTGACTCCTTTGACAATCATCTTCACACGAGAGAGATGTTCAGAGCCAAGCGGTTTTGTTTGTTTTTCTTGCATCTCCTTCTTGCTGCACTTTTTCCTCCGACCATACCTCAGGCACCGTACATCCAGGTCTGTCCCTTTCCCTTCTCCTGGAAGCCAGCTCTTCCCTTCCACAGATTAAACCCGGAGACCGAGCCCTGCAGACTCTGTCGCCTTACCTGTGCTGCGCGGCGGTCCTTAACCCTTTGTTGGCAATAACAGACGTGTGGGTCTATTTTGTGGGGGTCGCAGGCCGGGTGGCTCTTTGCAGCCCGCTCCCGGCACTCTCTCCCGTTCTTCCCTGGACAGCTGGAGGAGCGAGTCTCCTGCTGTCCGTCTGAGTATGGATTTGATGCCTGCTTTAAAATACCTCTGCCCTGGTGCCGGGGCATTCCCGCTCCCTGGAGGAGTCCCCCCGCAGGTATCCCCACAGGACAGGGATGCCTGTGGCCCCCAGGTGCCCACCAGTTTTATCCAATGGTTTTTGCTGCTGATTTATTTTACCACTCTCAATACATTTGCAGAGGCAGGGAGCAAGGTTTTTGTTTCTCAGTGAGCGTGGCGATGTGGCAATAAATGCTGTTACAGCTGCTTGTCCCCTGGGGAGTGTTTCTCCCACCCTGGCGGCCCAGATGTGGAATTGTTTCTCCATCGTGGTGTGATGTGTGGAGGAGCTGTGCACACGGAGCTGGCAGTGGGTGCTTAGCAGTGCTGCTGTATGCACAGGCACTGGTAGCATTGAACCTCACCGGTGAAGCCTTAACAGGAGCTCAGGTTGGCAGAGCCCCTCAGGACCTGAGCCCTGCCAGCGTCCAGCAGCAATAATTAGCCTCCTCTCTGCATCTGATTGTGGTACAAATGGCTTGGGATCATGGGCTTCCTACACTGGGATCGTGGTTCTTTGCCTTTGCCATCCTCTGGCAGCCCCTGGCCGGACACGTGTGCTCCACGTGTGAGGATGGATAGGGACACTGGAATAAAACTATTGTGTTTCATTTTATAACCTGATCGTGTCATCTCTTGCCTTCTCTGTGCCTCCTTCTCTTCCTCTGAAGGAAAAAGCCAGCACTGCATGGCTGCTCCATGTATTTCTGTTGGGGTGGGGCTGGCCAGGCGGTGTCGCTGATGGGGTGGAGCAGAGCTGAAGGGATGGGTGAGCTCCCTTTACCATGCCCTGGGGTGCTGGGCTCCTCCAGGGCAGCTGGGTCACGGCAGGGGCAGGTGAGGAGGGGTGTCCTGCACTCCCTGTCACTTCCAGCTGGGCTGTCTGACTGTGCAGAGACAGGATCCAAGTGGCTGGTGCTTAGTGCATCTCTGTGAGCTGATGGAATCTGAGCCTTTGCAGGCGCTGCCCCAGCCCAGATAGGTAAGGGAGAAGTGAGTGTGCTGGTCTGGTGGCCTCTGCATCCCCTCAGAGGAAACGAGGAATTGGTTTAGTTTTTTTTTTTTTTTTTACCTAAGTGTCTTATGGGGGGGAAAAGCCTAAAAGCTGGTGTTTTGCTGTTGTGGTAGTAATTGAAACTTAGTCATGCTATTGAAGCAAAGAGGTCTGTGCCAGGGGGGAGAGCAGGCTGGGGGAATCCAGCAGACACTCCCTGTTCGACACCCTTCTTAAAAGGAATTCACTGGGCTTGCTCAGCAGCAAGGGACTAAAGGCCTCAGAATGTGGTATATAGTTCTGTTAAATTTCCAATTCCAATTAATGTTTTTTGGGGGCTGTTTTTTCTGTTTTTCTTTTTTGCTTTTCAACCACCTCAGAGATACTGCTGCAGTGCTGGGGAGAACAAGCCAGAAACCCAAGAAGGTCAAGAGGATTCCCAAGTTCCTTTCCAGACAATTGCCGCCTTCAGAGGTGCAAATCCACGTGGAGATGGGAAGGGGGATGTGAGGAGTGCAGTGAGCTGGCACTGTCCCCTGGCTCCCTGGTTTGGAGACATCCATTGACCACCTGAGAGGAAAAAAGCATTCCCATCCTCTTTCACCCTGCAGTCACCCCTGCTGGGGGGGGGGGGGGGTATGTCTTGCTCCAGATCCCCCAGGAGGATGTCTGTCCTCACTCAAATGGAGGCTTTGGCTTGAAAGGAGCATCCTTGAGCAGGAGCGCCAGAGGAAGAGGATTTCCTATGGAGCTGGTGAGTTTGTGCAGGTGAGAAAAGGGTAATGAACAAATGTAAGAGCTGAAGGGCGCCTCGGGGATCTCCGGGAGGGCTGGGCCCAGGCTGTGATCAGGGTAGGGTGTGCGCAGCCCCCAGACCCACTTCCAAGAGGAGCCCCGAAATCCCGCACCCATCACTGGGGGTCTGCTGGGGCGGGTCGGGGCTCGGTTCCCGGGCGGGGCTGGTGTCTGTCCGTCCGTCCATGTGCTTGAACAAGCTGCGTCACAGCGACAGCCCAAGGGTCCCAAACGCTGGAACTGCCATCTCTGTAGTGCCAGTGCGCCCTGCTGGGAGCAAGCTCTGCGGGGATGCTCTGTCCCACGCTCGGCGTCCCCAGTGTGTCGGGGCTCATCCCCGCGGTGTCTCGGGGTAACTCACGTCCCCCTGGTGTCTCGGGGTCTCAAACCCCGGCCGGGAGCTCCTGGCGGGAGGAGCGGGGCTCCCTCTGCCCCTGGGGTGGCCCCCCAAGGTAAGGTCAGGTAACCTGCGCCCTCCTCCCAAAGCTGTGGCCCCCAAGTGCGTGTTTGCCAAGGCGCCAGGCTCCGGGGGACGGAGGGCAGGGGTCTGTGTGGCTGTGGGTGCTATCGCAAGGTACGTGGTGCTGTCCCCGCGTACACAGCAAACTGTGTTGTTTCGGGGCGTCCCCGCCGCTCCGTGTGTAACTCTCCTTGGAAAAGCCTTGGAGCTCAGTGGCGATGCACTCCCCAAAAGTCTCCGGCAAGGGCAGCTCGGGTGGAGCTTCTGCAATTCTGGGCTTTTTAAATTTATTTTTTTAGCTGTGCCTTCTCACGCTTGTCGCAGCTGTGAAAACGGAGTCTGCCTCGGGAATTCTGGGCTTTGCAGCCGTGTATTATTGTGTCCTGTGCCTGGTTCCCTCTGATTTTTTGTTCTTGCCCTTTCTCCACTCTGATTCCCTGGCGTGTACGTCTTCAAACACTTACTTGTGCGCCTTCCTGGCCTCTTGAGGAAAATACATTAACAGCTGCCATAAATAGTAGTTTGGGGGGGACCTTGCTACGAGGAGCTAAAAAACATTTTTATAGCACTTGGGTTGTCAGCATAGCTGCTGAACAGTAAAGCCACTCCGTAGCTTCGTTGTCCTGTGTAATTTTCCCCTTTTTCTGTTGTTGTGGGATGATTATGGCATAATTTAATAGTATGTGTCAAATGTCTTTGGCAGTATTTGTGGGCCAGGAGGCTATTGCCATGCCTCATGTGCTATCCTGTTTCAGGCTCCTAACTCAGGCAAAAACTGACTTTTTTTTTTAATGCATTTTTCAATTTTATTTTTTTTTTAATTTATTATGCAGGGCTGACTCTTTACAGAATCATAGAATCCCCGAATGGTTTTCCTTGAGAAGCATGTTAAAGTTCATCTCATTCCCCACCCCTGCCATGAGCAGGGACAATTTCCACTCTACTGGGTTGTTCCAAGTGCTGTCTAATCTCACCCTGAGCATACCCAAGGAAAATAATGGAAGCGTTTTAGTCCACAGCTGGGACACAGGACCATGGGTTGCTCACCTAGGAGAGGGCTGCTGGGGTCCAAACAGAGAGGAGTCAGCTGGTAAGTGACATCTTGTGTCCTCTTTGGTAAACAAACTTGTGTTTAATGGTTTTGGGAATACCTGAGAGTGAACAGACTTGGTCACAAAGGAAGCTTCCACAGCCAGACCTCATTTTCCTGAGGAATTGTGCTCACCCTTGGCCTTTTGAACGAGGAGGGGTGTGAGGCTGACTGGCCAGGCTGGTGTCCGAGAAGGGCAGGGTGTTCTGGGTTCCAGCAGCACTCCCAGGGCTGCAGCTTTGGGGTGTGATGCAGAGCCCAGCAACATTCCTGCTGGGCGAATGTGGGAGGGAGAGCAACAGCAAGCGGCCAAGCTGGGCTGTGCTCCTGAAATCCCAGATGGAACTGATCCAAACTACACCTGGGCTAGAGTTCCATCAGCCAGAGGAGGGAATGAACCCTGGTACCAGCCATCCTGGGGCCACTGGGCAGGCCTTACCATCTCTCTGCCATCCCTGGCATTGTGTGACCCTCCCATGGTCAGAAAAGGCAGAAAATGGGGCAGGAAGGGGAGCTCACTTTGTTTCTGCCAACTCCAGGCTCTTGCAAGAGCTTCCTCTTGCAGCTGCAGAGCACTTTGAGTTCAAATAATGCTGCCCAACTACAGCCAGCTTGAACCTCTCTTGGGCACTTGTGGATCCCTCTGTGCCACCCCTCCTCTAATCCTTTAGCTGCGAGGTGTGGGCTCAGGAACGCCTGCCCCTACTGGATGCACTTTTACACATTTAAATTCAGATTCCTAAGAAAGCAATTGGCTCTAATGAAAACATGTTCTGCTTAGAAAACACACAGGAAGCAGGTGTTATGGCACACTTGTTATGTTAACAGTAGGTCTTGCACTTTGTTCCTTCTATTTTTTTACGCTGTTTTTAGGAGGACCCTTAAACTGGAAAATTAAAAGTGAGGGAGAACATGCTGCTTTTCATTTTTTTTTTAATATTGCATTGGATTTTGCTATGTCATGTGATACCACCAAAGTATAATCTGAATAATTCACCTTCAGGCCTCTGCAGTTGATTCTTTTATTGTGTTTCAGTGGCTGGAGGTGCAAGAAACACCAAATCCCAAAGCATTTCTACATCTGTAACATCAAGTGCAGCATCTTTAAAGCCAAGTGCCCAGTGTGGGCTTTTCAGGTGGATGCAAATGGTCTATACAAACAGGGTGTGAGTGCTGACACTGTGTGGCTGTGGGTGCCCCTGGCCCCTCAGCAGTCAGGCAAGGCTGAAGGAAGGAGGGAGCCTCACACAGCTCCAGCTGAAGATGATATTGGCTGCTTGAAACCCTTGGTGCAGAACTGGGAGAATTGGAAGAACAGGTTTTCTCCTTTTTTCTGTCCATCACTGGGCAGAATACTAAAGTGATGCTGCACTAATCCCTTTATTTTGGTTTTTTTTTTTTTTTTTCCCCTGGCTTTTTAATGTATTTCAAAGCAGTGCAGTGAGGGGCAGGTTGCTGGGTGGCACAGTTTCTACTGGCACAGAAATTTCTATTTCAGGGTGTGTGTGTGTGTGTGTGTGTGTGCTTCCAGGCTAATCCAGAGTGACGTGGGAATCCTGAGGGCTTTTCCAGCCTTGGCTACCCAGGCTTCTGAACAAGCCTGGCAGGTAGGCAGGTGTTTGTTTCATGGCTATGAGGTGTCAGAGGTGTCCCTTGTATCACAGATATTTGCCCATAGGTATTTATATCAAATTGTGAGGGTTTATACCTGGGGACCCCTCAGGTCACTGGGCCTGAAAGTCATCCCTCAAGCAGAGAAACCAAGCAATTTTTCATAATTCCAGGTGTTATATTCCTAATATGAAGTGTCTTTTTAAGAGGTTTAGGAGTTTGGTTACCTTTGTGCTGTGGACAGGGGATTTGTTAGGCTGGCAGGAATGTTTTCTCACCTGGAGGTGTGTTACAATAATCAACATAACAATTCATCATAATTTTTACCTTTTTTTTCTTCATAATGTGGGAAAAATATTTGGCTTAAATGAATCAAACGTGTTGAAGTGCTTCCTTTCTATAGGGGTGCTCTGTCATCTTCTTACAGATCCTCAAGCAAAAGGAACTGGGATCTGGGAAAGGGATTTGCCTGTGGATTCCTGCAGTTCGTGGTCTGCTGGGTGAGGGTTCTTTGGGCAAGATAGTCGTGGAGAAAGTGTGAACTCTGGCTAACATGAGCTAGATACTAACAAAAGAAAAATGTTTTCAAAAGAATTGGGGTGTTGTTTTTTTTCCTTTGTGGGTAGCTGTGCCTGAGGCAGGGATGCTCCAATGGCTGTGCCTTCTTCCAGCTCTCTCCACCAAAGGAACACACACACACTCAAAGCACCGGGTTTGGGGTGCTGTGTATGCAGGGAAAGCCAAAGCAGCTCAAGGGCTGCAGTCTTGTGCAGAGCAGCTGTTGTGAGCTAGAGGCAGATGACCACTAGACATAGTTGTACCAGAGGTTCCTGGGGTATAGCTCCACTCCTTCCCAAATTTGGGCTTTTCTGCCCCAAAGCCGGCTGCCAGCCCGCTAGAGGGTTTTTTTCCCTTATCCAAATTGCCATCCCACTGTGGAAAGTAGTTAAAAAAGATGCTTCTGAGAAACTGATTCTCAAGTGTCTTTCATCATTGCTGCCTGAGTACCAGGGCTGGGAAGAAATGCATTTGCTTTGACTTGACAGCTGGAGTATGTGTTCTTTTCCTCTGCTAACTTGTTCCCGTAGCCTCTTCCTTTTTCACCTGCTGTTCCCTGCAGTTTTGCTTTTTTTTTGCCTCCCAGAAACTTGGTGCTTATTTCCACTGTGCTTTTCTAGCTCCTGGCTCAGGGCTTGCTCTTCTGCAGCACACGTGGGTCCCCCAGCCCTCTCCTTGGTCCTTTCTCTTCCTTGGCCGCTGTGTTTTGGCCCTGGTGCCAGGGGGTGGCAGGTTTTGCCTCGATGGAAGCACGTGCCCACTCCCAGGGCTCCTTTCTCAGCCCTCTTTCAGTGGCATGTGGCTGGGGAATTGCTGTCCAGAGTGCTTGTTCTGATCACAGAACTCTTATTTTGGGTTCGGGAAGACCCAGGCTATCAAAGGAGGACAGTGGCAGGAGGCATGAAGCTCAGGATCGGTGTTATTAAAGTCTCTCCTGGTTTTATTTTAACTTTTTTTTTTTTTTTAGTTTATTTCTTTATTTTTTTTACTTTATTTTCTGTTAAGATCTTTCAGGCATGCTCAAATATCCCTAAAATGAAAGGCAGTGTATAGCTTTCCCCTGAACTTTTCCATGCTCCCCTGGTGTTACATCATTTTTGTCTCTGCAGTGGCACAAGGCTGGATCACTGCCTAAGAAAGAAGCAGGGCTGAAATTTCTTTTTTAAATTTTTTTTTTTCCCCTAAGACCATCCAGCCACTGAGAGGAGGGCGAGGGCAGCAGGGGTGGCACTGGGTCACATGCAGGGAGCACGGGCACCACGTTGCAGTACCTGACATTTTCTTAAAACTTGTGACCTGGGTTAGGTTGAGGGGCTTTTTTTTTTTGTGGTTTTTTTTTCTTTTGTTCTTTTTTTTTTTTTTTTTTCCTAGAGAAAATCAGAGCGGTAGGTTTAGCCCACAAAAGATTCAACAGGTTTTTACCAGAAGTTGGACTGGGTTGTCTAATTTTTCCTCCTTCAAGCCTGAGTTTTTCCTTCCTTTTTTCAGTATCTGCTGTGTTGGGCGTCCCGAGGAGGGACAGAGAAGTAATTTATGCTTTACTTTCCTTTGTGGTAATTTAATCTCCAAATTGTTATGAGGGTTTGGGTGTTTTCCCCCTGGAGGAAACCACACGCAGACACAGCGCGCAGAGAGAGTTGCGTCTGGGGAACGGAGCGCTGAGCGCCGCGCCTTCCCGCGCTCCTGAAGCTGCAGCACTGTGCCCAGCCCTGTTTCAGCGCATCCCCGGCCGTTCCCGAGCCCATCCTGCCCCGGGTGAGTCCCGGGTCCCGCTGTTTCCCGGCTCGGACCGGCTCGGTGCCGCCTGCGGGCCGCGCCACGGCACCGGGAGCTGCGCATGCGCACTGCCACCCGAGGAGCAGTGGGGACACCTGCCGGCAGAAACGCGGTACTGACATGCCAGGGCGCGCATGCGCATTGACATCACACTCACACACCCCCCCGTCACAAATTCAGTGAGGGCAAACTGGAGCATGCGCAGTGGGAAGCAGACGCCCCGCACCACGTGGTGTCTAAGGGCGAAACAGCCCCCCCACGATGAGGCGCATGCGCGGTGGCGTTCCCCCGCGCCGTGCTGCCGCCCTGTGGGGAGCAGCGGCGGCGGCGCCCGGCCCTGAGGGACGCGGGGCCCGGCCCTGCCCCGGCCCCGGGGGGACAGTGACGGAGCCCAGCGCTCGTGGAGCCCGCAGCCGCGCTGAGGGTGAGCGGGGACCGCGAAGAGCCGTGGGGAGCGGGGGTGGCGCTGTGAGGGCGCGGCTGGGACTGCGGGCCGGAGTTGGGGTGTTTGGTTTATTAGTGTGAAGGGGGAAAGCAGGGGGAGAAGGGGTGTAAAATCACTGCGGGAGCTCGGGCAGGTGGAAGAGGGCTTGGGGGACGGAGTCGCTTTCCTGAGCTCCTCGAGTTCCTCTTCCCTCAGGAGTTGTCGTGAGGAGGTTCCCGCTTGGAGCTGCGCTCCAGAAAGAAGGAACCTGAAATTGCTGCTCGTGATAAAACTGTAAGTGTACAAAGCTTGCCAGTAACTCGTATGGATACTTTAACTACCGAAAATGGTAATTTTTATTTTCTCTGTATGCAAACCACTTGGCTTTCCCTGCAGGGTTCACTGAATTGGGATCCAGAGCATCCTGAGGCTCCTGGTGCTTGTGGTGCTTGGCAGGTAGAAAACGCCGCCGTCTGACCTGGATTTCAATCTGCCTTTCCCGAGGTACTCAGGATGGGGAAAGGCCAGCAGGGTGGTGGGGAGGGCTTTGTCCCACACCTGGACAGCATCCCGGCAGGGATGCTTTTGGAATATCTCTTGTCTTTCCTTTCCCAGCTCAGGGTGTTCACTGAATGGGGTGTGGAGTGAGCAGGTCTCTGTTGGGACAGTGGGATAGAGGGACACTCCTGGCTGGTGTGTCCTGGGAGGGCAGGGAGATCTGATGTTGGCATTTTGGGTTTGGGGCTCTTCAGTCCATCCAGGGCTGCCAGCATGTCCCGGGTATTGGTGGCTCGGGGCTGAGGGACACTGGCACTGCGTGCTTGGCTGCTGCTGGAAATGAGCAGCTGGGGCTGTGCTGGTTGTGGATTCCTGTCCTGCCTGGCCTCTGCTCTGTGCAGCAGGTTTGGGGCCTGGAGTATCCCAGCTTCTTCATCATCCTTTGTCTCCTTGAGGAGAGGAGTCTGTGCTTGGCTGCTGGCTCCCTGCAGGCTGCAGAGCCCAGCCCTGATGTTCCTCAGCACTGGTTGCTCTGCGCATGCAATGGAAAATGCACCTTTGGAGAAGCTGCTGTTGTCCTGTAGGTGTGCACAAGTGCTGAGTCTCCAAGAGTGCTTTGAGGGTCTGACAAAGCAGAGCAGGACTAGACAAATCAGCTGCAGTAGGCTGAGGAACATTCCCTGTAATTTATGGAATACTTAATCCAACATTGACCCAAACCTGTGGCAGTGATTCTGAGTAAGAGTTGGACTTTTCCTTCTCAGGGTCGCTGGGAAGCGTGGGACAAGAACTGAGCCATAACTTCCTGCAGGCACCCCTAGCAGGGACAGGAGCAGCAAACTGTGCTGGAAAAACACCAACGAGCACCTGGGAGATGATGAGCTACACTTCTGAAAGGAATCTGGAAAGGAAACCACGTTATTTTAAAGGAGAACCCCAGGTGGAACACGTGGGATGGATTACTTGAGGAGAGATGTCTTGACAGCAAGAAATGTGTTGGTGCTGGTTTTTTTTACGTAAGCAGAGCATCTGGAAGCACTCCAGGAAGGTGATGGATAGTGAGGAGCTGAGGGCACAGTAGGGATGGCTCCTGCCTCGTCTGCTGCTCCCGCACTCTCAGCTGGTTGGCTCCAGTTAAAATTGCCACTTTCTGCAGAGCTGCGTTGATATTCTCCAGTTCTGAGGGAGGATTGTCCTGTGTTCTTGGCTTTTCAGGAGCTTTTGTGGGAGTATCGTGGTCTTGGTGTGGTGTTCAGCCAGAGCAGTGCCTCTGGTCCCTTTTTCAGGGAGAGGCTGAAACTTGGATTTCTCTCTGAGGTGGCCCTGGTGCTGAAGGCAAATATTGAAAGTGCAAAGGCACGGCAGTGCTCTGGGAGGCAGGAGTGGCTTTCCTGCTGGAAATAGAGGTGCCATTCCCCTCCATCCCTTCCATAATCCCGGGGTCACTGTTTATCCTGCTGCGGGGCAGGGGAGCTGCTGCCTCAGGTGTGGTTCCACGCAGCCATGAGCCAGCTCACTCCCGAGCTTCAAGCAGAGGATTCCCTCAAAATGCCCTCCCAGGGGAAGCTGGAGTGTTCCTGAGGCTCCCACTGATCCACTGGAAGCTGTTCCTGCCCTGCTGGCAGACACGAGGGCCGTGTCCCCCAGCGTGCCCAAAACTCCCTCTGGCAGTGGGGCTGCCCGTGCTGTGCCCCTCGGCCTCCTGCCTGAGATGTGCTCCCCAAATCTCCCTGCCCAGGGCTGTGCAAGCAGTTTCCCTGCTGTCTCACTGCTCTCTACACCTTCAGACTTTCAGCCGTGTGCTTTCCTGGCCTCTTAATGAAAATAAATTAATAAATACGGGAACTAGATGCTTTTGGGGGGGGGGGGGGGGGGGGAGGGAATGGGGGGCTTGGCTTCCCCTGAGGACTCAAAAACTCCTTTCTAAGCGTTACTTTATCGATGTGCTTTGTGAGCACTAGGCTCTAGTGTGCCGTCTTCTTTGAGGCTGCGAGTTTAGGCACGAACCGATTTTTAAAGATGAACTTTATAAGTGGTGAGCGTAACCCCACGGGAGCGCAGAGCTCCGCCCCCTGCCGCCGGCCGGGCCCCGCCTTCTTCTGGGAGGGGCGGGGCCTGGCGCTGATATCCAATCAGCGCGGCGGGCGCCGCGCGGGCGCGGCCAATGGCGAGGCAGGGCGGCAAGCTTGTGCGGCGGTGCCGGAAGGCGCGCGGCCCTTCCGGCCGGCCGGGAATGGCGCCGGGAATGGCGCCCTTAACGCGCGCGTGTGTTCCAGGCCGGCAGTGCCACCGCCGCGGGAGAGAGCCGGGATGTGCGCGGGAGCGGGCGCCAGGTGAGGGCTGGGATGCTGCGGTGGGAGCGTGAGGCCCCGCGGGCTTTGCGCCTGGTGGTCGCTGGGCGGGTGGAGCAGTGCCCGGGAGTTAATTCGTGCGGGCGTTCTCCATAAAAAACCGTATTGTATCTGCTCAAGTTCTATTGGCGTACTGAAAATGGTATGTTTTTGCGTACGTGAACATGCGGAATAAGGCCTCAGAGCGCTCTGGATGCATAGCAGAAAACGCGCGGTAGTAAAAGTTATTTTTGGATAAACAGCAGTCGTGTTGTAGGTTTGCAGAAGTGCTGAGTCTCAAAGAGCGGCGTAAGGTTTGTACAAACAGGACAGGGTGAGACAGGTGGCTCCTATAGGCTGAGGGCTCTCTCCCTGTACTCGTAAAACCACGAACCCAACAGTGAGCACAAAACCCGAGTAAAACTGTTCTGAGTTGTACTTTTTTTTTCCCGAGGTCGCTGGGAAGCGTGGGACAAGACCTGAGTGATAACTTCTTGCAAGCCCCAGCCGGGAGAGGAGCAGCAAATTGTGCTGGAAGAGTTTCCATGAGTGCCTGTGAGATGATAAATGTAATGGCTTCACAATTAATCTGTAAACCTAATCGTGTAGTGTTGACAGAAAACCCCAGGTGGAACACGTGAGAAAGATTATTTAATGAGAAATTTCTTGACAGCGATAAATATGTTGATGGTAGGAGCTTTTTGTGTAATTTTTGCTTGAAATAGAAGTGTTGTTCCCCTCTGTCTCTTCTGTATTCCAGAGTAATTTTTATTCTATTATGGATGGGTAGTGGGCAGAGGAAATGCTGCCTCAAGTGTGGCTCCACAGCAGATGTGAGCAAGGTTTTGCATGAGCTTCAGATGGGTCACAGTTTCTGCTGCCTGGCAGATGTCCTGGGAGCTGTTCTGCTTGGGATTTTCAGGGAGAAACGCGACACAAAAGGTTAAATCTGTGCCTGAGCTGAGAGAGGATGGGACTGTGCTAGGGTGGGTAAGCCTTGAAAGGGAAGCGCTCCTTGGCTTATTCCACACATTTAGCATAATGTTAAAAAAAAGTTAAAATAGCCTTTGGAGCCTTGGCTCCCTCTCTGCCCCGAGTTTTCTGAGCTCCTTGGGAAGGAGCTGCAATTTCCTCGTTCTCCAGCTGGGGTCATTCCAGAGCTGTTCCAGCCCGGGAAGAGCTCTCAGTGCATCATGCAGGAGATGGTTCTGTCTGTACCAATTTACCTTCTGTAGCCTAAAAAGGTCTTTTTCTAGAACCTGTAGTAGTTCTAAAGCCTTTTGGGGTATTTTTTCCCGGTTTTTTTCCTTCCTGTTTATTTTTTTCCTTCCTGTTTATTTTTTGTTCCACTGCTCTGGTGCACGTCTGTAGTGTTCCCTGTTTGTGTGTCTTTTTAGTTCTGTCCTGGAGATGGTCCAAATCAGTTTGCTGGTTTACAGGAGACCCCAGAATGTTTCCCTGAAACACCTACAAGGAGTTTCAGCTGGTGGGTCCGAAGTTACTCTTGGCTGCCAGCCATCACAGAGACTTGCAGGAGGCATTTTTGGTTTTCTCTGCTGTGTACCTGGTGAGCCCACAGGGAGCAGGAGTTCCCCGTGGAGCTGTGGGGTTTGCCACCTGGCCAGTTCCCTCTGTGTCAGCAGCAGGGCACAGCTGGAGCCAGAAGAGCTGGGCAGGCAGACAGGTCCTGGCTTCTTTACCCAGGTGTGTGTTTAGCCTGTGCAGCCCTAACCTCTGCTGTGGTATGCATTAAATATTGCTTGTTTGTCCAAGGTGGTAAAGGGCCCTGTGCATGTGAGCACTGCTGTTGACTAAAGCCTTGGGAAGTTATGCAACACTGGGGAACTCCTTCTTTATGTCCCAGAGTGAGTCTCTTGGCCACTGTGCTCATCTTCTAGGAGGGTCTTGCTGTGATGGGCCAGAGAGGATGAGCCCAGCCTCACTGATGTGTCTGAGGACCCTGGGAGCTTGGATGTGTAGGATTCCATGGCAATTGGAGCAAGTTCTAGCTGTGGTTCTGTGGGTAGCAGTGCAGCCATCAAAAGCGTTTAGGTGTTTTAAATAATTAGGTGGTGGCAATTAGGGAGCTTAGTAAGATGAGGATTTGTCCTTTCTCTGCTGTTCCCCCAATAAAACCAAGCCACAAGGCATAGAAAAGCCCCAAATCCCAGTGCTGGTGCTCTCAGCTGTGTGAGAGCTACAGCCAGATCGCCAGATGAAATCCATGCCAAGAGGATGGACCTTGTTGGTTTTTCTCCTGCCCCTGGGTACTGGCTGGGAAGGCAGTTGGGTGATCCTTTTGGGTTTCAAAGGGCTGTTCCTGAGGCTGGGCATGAGCACTGCCAACACTTGTTCCCCTGAAGCCTCCCACAGCAGCTCTGGTGGCTCAGAAAAGCTTTCCAGAGGACCCATTTCAGGTGTGGAAAAGTGCCGAGGATGGTGTTGGATCTGACCAACAGTGCCCTCCTGATGTGATTTCCTTCCCCTTTACTGTTTGCCAACATGCCCAAAGAGTTCCCAGTCAGGAAAAAGAGAGTACTATAGAAATATTTCTTTTAAATGGAGCCATCTTTGTTTAATGAATTGCTATGGAAATGGCGTGAGGCATGCAGGGAAGCATAACTAATTCCAAGCACTTCTGCCCCTGGAGTACAGGTTATCTGTCAGGTCTGTGTCACTGGACAGTGTGGTGTGGAACAGGCTGCCTTTCCTGCAGATGTCAGGTGGCAGTTTCACCTCTGGAAGGCTTGGTGTGTGTTTCTCCCCAGGCAGTGGGTTTGGAAATGGTGTTCCTTGTGGGCCTGCCTGTGTAGGTGACGGGGAGCCTTTTGTCTCCAGACAGCGCAGGTGTGGGGCTCTGCCTCTCACACACGTCGTGCTGCACCTTTGGCAGCAGGTGTGGTGGAGCACAAGAGCCCTTGGGGTGCTCAGAAAGGGGGCCTCTGGACCCCGAAACGAGCTGGGGGGAAGCTGGCTGTCCCTTCATGGTGCACACTGGCTTCTCTTAGTTCACTTACAGGCAGAAAGGGAAAAGCAGCAGGAAGGGGGTAAGAAAACAAGCAGACAATGTTGTTTCAAATGGTAGGACAGGCTAAGGCAGGTCTGTAGTTCATTGGAGCTTTTATTTGTGTTTATTAGCTTACAAAAGACCAATCAGTATAGTTATTAGTATAATTATCGTTTCCCTCCCTCCCTGAGATCTGTCTTCTTAAGTCTTCGTAGCACAGACAAGTCATTCCCATTCAATATCAGTGCATGGCCCGTGGGTGGTTTTAAATGCCTAAAAATGGCATGATTTCCTGTGGTGCACATTCCCCAGGACCAGGCTGCTGGCTGTGACTCTAGGTGGGAAAGCACATGGACAACAGGAGGAATGCAGAGCATCTTTTATTTCTTCATTCTTTGCTGTAAATCATCCACGTGAAGCACAAGTTAGGAGAGCTGAGTATATTTCATGGAGCGCATGATTTGAACAATTTCAGTGACATAACAGCTGTAAATAACAGCCATGTACTTGTGCTGTGGGGCAAAAGAAAAGCTACATGTCTTTCCTGTCCAGAGGACTTTTGATCAATTCCATTAACCTGGGAAATAGAAGCCAAGTCTAAAAATCATAGAGTGGAATCATGGAATAGGCAGGATAGGAGAGGATCTTTAAAAGTCACGAGTCCCACCCTCCTGCCATGAGCAGGGACGCCTTTCTTACAGTGTTCCTGATTTGTTCTTCCTTCCTGTCTATGATTACAGGAGAGAAATTCCAGTGTTTGAGGTGGGTGTTGTTCATTCCCTCTTCAAATCTGGTTTGCAAGAACGATTAATTGCATCTATGTGCAGCACTAAGTGTGCTGCTGGACTTGGAGCTGAACTGTGTGCAGGTTTGGGTTGATAAAAGAGATTTTGCTGGCCATAAGGCACATCTTGGCCTTCCAAGAGAGGGGGGGTTACAGTGGGTTTTGGAGTAGCTTGGTGGAATTGAGCTCAATTTCTAAGGACTTTAGAATGTACAGAAGGTGGGGCTGCATTTAGGGTATAAGAGAGCATAAAGCAAACCCCAGATAATTTAGACCTTCAAAGGCATTAGAAAGATGGGTTTTAAGAGTCCAGTAGATACCATGTTACATCAGGGATTACAAATTGAGCTGGCAATGAGATGTTGCAGGAAGCCATGGCCCTCTGTAGGATTTCCCTGGAGCAAAGCAGCCAGGGGCACCCCAGGGACAGTCCTGTCACCTCACAGCACCAGGTGCACCTGTGAGCTCCCGTTGGTGAGGCACAGAACAAAGGGAATGCGTGGCCAGGTGCAGTTCACACCTGTGCTGGCAGCCAGGAATGTGCTCCAGGTTCACATGGGAGCACTGGGAGTGGGCAGGTCCAGAGCTGGGCTCCAGCCAGGAGCCTCTGGGAACTGCTCCAGTGGGGTCAGCTCCTCACCTTCTCCCTCTGCCCCTGCCAGCCCGTGGGGCACAGGTGTCTGGAGACATTCCAGAGCCTGCTGTATCCCACTGTAAGCCTGGAATGGGGCAGCTGGTGACACAGGGAGGGACGGTGCTGGGACGGTGCACACAAAGTGCTCTGTTCAGAAATGTTTGCTGTGAGGAGCTGAGCTGCCACGGTGGAGAGCAGAACAAGGGAACCTGGCTGGAATGCACAGATCATTCCTAATCATCCTTTCAGGCAGTTCCTGGAAACTTGTATTGGCCAGGTATTCTGTGAAAGAATAGGTAGCATCCATAGCTAGAGGGTGAGTAATTATCAGCTGCTGTGTGGTAGTTGCACGTGGAAAGCAGACCAGGGGGCAGATGAAGCACTGGCACTGAAAAGGAAACAGATAACCCTGCAGCTCTGAAGTAAACCAGAAGCCTGAGCTCCTGATCACTGTGTTGACTATCACCTGGGAATGTATTTGTTCCACTCCCCACAATGAGATAATGTCGTATCACAAATGTGGTAATGAACATTTTCATACTTGTAATAATCTCTTCTAATAAACACTGCTGTGTGTAGCTGACCAAAGCACTACTCTATGCAGTTAGGTAGAAAAACAAAGCAGGGAAAAAAAGGGAAAAGCTATCTTTTGGAAATAGTAGTTTCCTCCTGAAGTCAGCAGAAAAGCTACAGTGCAAGCCTAGCAGAGAATGAATGGAGACAGTGCTGTGAACTGGAGGTCTGTGCTGGTCTTGGGGGTCTGCACGCCTGGAGGAGGGGCTGGTGGGCTTCTTGGACAGTGTATAATCATTTTGTGGGGGGGTTCCAGCCCTTTCTGGTGTTCTTATTTTTTTTTGACCTCTCAGATTAGCTAATGTGCTCAAAGGACTCTGGATGGCTCTTCCCTGTGCATGAAGTCTCTATAACACCCATCTCAAAGTGTGTGTCCAAACACTTGGTGGTTTCTATTCCATCCCTTCACAACAGAGCAATGCTGTTGAGTCAGTTTGCATTCTGGTTGGTGGGGGGAATTCTTGTTCTTGCTAGAGGAACTTGGTGTATTGCTCAGACTAATCACTAAAAAAGGTGAAAAAGCAAATTGAGGTCAAAATGGTCTGTGTCACACTAGT